GTTTGCTAAAGAAGGCTCCCTAGTTGAGGTCCCATATGTTGAGCCCTCATTTTGGAAAGTCTTAAAGTTAAGTCTATGATAATAAGGTCTCATGGTATACGAATGAATAATATGAAAGAAAGTATGTGTTATATGTTATGTGTTATATGAATATGTTATGTTTTGTGTGCTATACGATAATTATAATGATGCATGTCACTCTCATGGCATAACTTTCCCAATCTCAATTTGGCAAGTCCACTGACTTGACTTCCAAAAATCATGTTGTTAGGAAAGAGCTATTCTTCCTCATGCATGTCCCTGGTGTGTACTTGCATATACTCATACTTAGTACAAGTGTGTACTAATTCCATACGAACATCTACTTTTAGGTGCAGGCACAGGTGGACGCTAGAGCTACAGGTTCGTTGTTGCAGCTATCCGGACATCAGTATTCATCCGGAGTTTGGTAGGTCCTCATGCTTTCGAGGATGCTACTGTTTTACATTCTAGCGTAGTTTTAGAGTTGAGCTAGCGGAGCATGTTCCACTAGCGTTTCTTTCCTGTTTTGGTTCAAACTTTGTATTGGTGCTATTTTGGCCGATATACAATTAATACTTAATGAATTATTTCTTTCAGTTGCTTATCTCTTAAATGTTAGATGGTTGATGATGAACGATTACGAAATGTTAAGAATGTTCAGCAAGTATGATTAAAGAATCAAAAATTTCAATGTAATTCACCGGAATATCTCTATAACCATAATCTTGATCTCCCACAGAAAATAGAACACATTCTTTACTCATAAACTCAGAGCTAAGCAATCAACAACAAAAATCAACTCTTTCAAGAAATCAAGAAGGGATATTTATTTCAAATCAAGAACGTGATATAGTAAGCTAAAACCATTGACTGTAAAATTTAAAATATCAGTAGTGTTCAGTTTTTTTCATAACAGTGGAGTCTGCTTACGGGTGTATGGTCCAATCTGTTTTGTGTTCAATGTAATTCACCGGACAATCTCTATAATCATAATGTTGATCTCCCACAGACAGAGACAATTGAACGAACATATTCTTATTTCTTTACCCATAAACTCAGAGCTATAACTATCAATAACACAAATCAACCTCTTTGAAGTGATGTTTAATTTAATAAAAAAATGTTTGTAATTTTTTAATTCGGAAACAGTAAGATCAAACCATTCACAACAAGATTTAAAATCTCAGAATATGAAAGATCTAAGAGAATAAGACAAACATCTTACAATTTTATGGGCAGAACGACGGAGGAGCAGGCCGGCGGAAGTCATCGGCAGAGTGAGACTGGTTCGGGTCGGACCGTGTTAGGGTTTTTATAGGGTTTTAGAATTTACAAAGAAGAAGCCAAATGCCAACCATATATAGCCGCACCATTTAGCAATGCCTAATATAAAAATAATATAATACATTATATTCTTTAAGAATTCTTTCTTTGTTCATTTTCGACTAAAGAAATTTATTTTATGACTATATGCAATATATTAGTTTGATTACATAATTTTAAATATTTTCACTGAAACTTACTTTTATCCCTCATTAATTTGAAAAAAAAAGAAGAAGTTTAGTACATGATATAGTAATGTATACTATGTATCTAACATCCATAGCTATATTTAAAAAAATTATACATTACAATTATAATATTTCACTCTTTCTAGCATCCTCCTCTTTCTATTTCAGTGTAGTGTTTGATTTTTTTTCCTTCAGTATGGTGATCTTTACGTAGTCTTAATTTTTTTTTTTACTACTCATTTAATGAATTTTTTTTTACTAAATAACTCTTATATATGACCTAAGTTGCTCGGAATAAATTCTATAAGTATTTAACTTGTGCGACATAAGTTGTTTAGTATTTGTATAATTTAATTACTCAATATAAGTTTCAAATTTTTTTATGCAGCTCTCTGTAAATATTGCAGGGATTGAGTTATACATTTAACGACATAACTTGATGGTTCAGAAACTAAACTTCTACCTTACTAGGTATAAAATTTGTAGAAATTAAGTCACGTATTTTATGACATTAACTTTTAATTATAAAATAGAACTTTACCTTAATTTGACTGTAAAAATTAAGTTTTGTCTTTTTCAACATAGCTTGTGGTGTCTACAACAAGACCTTTGCCTTGCTTTAACATAAATTCTGTAGAACTCAAGTTATTCATTACCATATAGTTCTTATTATACATTTTATAGCATAATTGATGGATTCTGAAATTGGCCTTTTAACTTCGAATAAATAATTGAAAACTATAATTTTCACCGAACAAAATATATACCCTCTTATCATCTAAAATTTATAAATCAAGGGACATCTTTGTTAATTATTTGTTATTTTAAATATTTCATTATATTTTCACGAGATTTTTTTATTTTTTAATTTCAAAATTTAAAGTTGATATATTTTTCATTAGAATTATTATTTTTATCTACTAGAATATCAAAACATTTACTTCAATTTTTTTGTACCGTACAACTTCATTTTATTTGTTGTTTCCTCGACATTCGACAATAATGACAACATTATTTTTTGTCTCTTTGATTTTTTTACAATATGTCTTAGTAATCGTTGTTATTTTCTTTCTCCTAATTTATGTGACATATTTTTTATCTTGATATTCAAATTAAGTTTTGTTTGTATAATTTTTAATATGCCTTTTAAATATTTTAAATTATTATTTATTGTGATTTATAGTATTTTCTATATTGTTATAAATATATAAATTTTATTTTAAAAAAATTAAAAGATTTTATATTTGTTTTTAATCAAAATTAAAAGATCTTTACTATGGCAAAGAGAATAGCATCAAACTTCTATTACTAGCTCAACTTTGCATGGTACTATAATATCTTTTAAAAGAAAATAGAATGCCAAAATTGCTATTTTAAAGTAGTTGAATAAATGCATAATGGATCATTTGGTAGGAAGTATATTACGACAGGTATTATGTGTGGTAATATTTAATTTTATGTAGTAGGAATTTCGGGTCAAATAATATAAGATTTAATATAGTAGGATTAATTGAGTGCGGACTCAAAAGGGTAAAAAAATTGTCAAAAATTCCAAAAGGGCATATCAATTTTTTTTAAAAACCAAAACGGTAAAATTCCTCACGATTTAGCGACTTTTGCCTTCTGAAAAAGCGAAATCGCTGCAATAGCAGCGATTTCTTAAATTTGCTTTTTAAAAAAAAAATTAAACAAATCGCTCCACATGGAGCGATTTTCAAATCAAAAAAATAATTTTTTTTATAAGTATTAAAATTTTTAATTTTTTTTATTTTTGCTTTATTTTATATAAAATAAATTCTTAATTAACACATTTTTTGTTTTACACTTAATTTTTTTTTTTGAAAACTTAATTAACAATTATATTTATATCATTGAAGTCCACCATCTCCTTCCTCTATATTCTTTCTCAGTTTTTTCCATTTATCTCAACACAAAAGCATCAAATTAAGCAGTCTTCTCAATAAACCAAGCAAGGTCAGATTTATAAATTGTTTTATTTTTTTCCAAACATTTTACTCTACTTTCTTCACTTCATTATTCATTACTATTTTTTAATCAGTTTTTTTCTTGGTTATTTTTTACTTTTATTTGCTTCTCTACTTATTTACTACGGATTTTGTTCCATTCAGAAGCTAAATTTTAGAGTTGTTAAACTAAATTAGAAATTACAAATCATAACTATATATATTACCACATTTCATCTTCTTCATTGATCTGTTTCTTTTTTCAATCTCAACCAATTGTAAAGCAAAAAAGAAAAAAAATTAAAATTTTTAATAGAAGTCGCTGCAGAAGCAGCGACTTATAAAAAAAAATAATTTTTTTTGATTTTGAAAATCGCTCCGTATGGAGCGATTTGTTTAATTTATTATTATTATTTTTTAAAAAACCAAATTTAATAGCAGCGATTTCTCTTTTTCAGACGACAAGTCGCTATATCATGAGCGATTTTACCGTTTTGATTTTAAAAAAAATTAATATGCCCTTTTAGAATTTTTGACAATTTTTCTACCCTTTTAACTCCGCACTCAGGATTAATTGATGAAAAGATAAAAATATTGCGAAACTCTTTTTAATCAATTTGTTAATTTTTTTTTAATTCTATATTTTATATCTATATTAGTAAGTTTATTCGAGTAAATTAGCTTAAAACTTTTACTATTTAGAGAGAGTTGTTTGTTGTTAAATAAATTCAATATAAATCAAGAAGTATTTGAATTGTGAGTTGTTTAACATTTACTAATGGAAAAGAGAAACTACATGACGTTTGTGATCTTAATTAAATGTTTTATATATTGATCTATAAGTGATTTTCTAATTATTTGTATTTTGAACAATTTATAAAGCTGCATATATATTAAAATTACAATTTGTAATTTATGTGTAAACGTAGATGGTTCGTTCAATTTTACTATTTTTTATCGTTTTTTAGGGTTTTAAATTAGACGTTCTACCTTTTATAAATTGAAATTAAAATTTTGTTAGTGATCAATTTATTAAGATGATAGTTATTTACCTTCAAATAATTCAAGTGAGAAGATAACAAATATAACAATAATATTGTTCTTCTCCTATCTAGTTAGAGGACCATAAAAAATAATGTTGTCCTATAATTATCTACTTTGGTCCGATTACATGAAACGAAAAATTCTAAAGATATAGTTGGAAAGAAACATTTTTATAGAGTTTAAATTCGAATACAAAATACGGTGAGAAGCAACAAACCAAATATTACTAAATTTTGCATTACAAATTTTGTACCAAACAATTCATATGGAGTGGTGTCTTTATACTTTTTATAGACAAGAGCATATTAATGAGTGTCTGGTCTTTTTTAGAATAATTTTTTCAAATTAGAGAATGTTGTCATGAATCACACAGTAAAACATTGTATATTGACTGTGTATTATTAAAAGTAAACAGAGAAAATCAAATATTGTATATTGACTGAATTATTGAAATTAATAGTATTCCATATGAGGAAAAAGCTTTCTCTTCTGCATTTACTACTTGAGAAGAGAACAATACTCAGAATTTTCATTTTATTTTTCTTCTTATAATCTCTTCTCTTTTTGTATTTTCTCCTATTCTCTTAAAGTTTGACAACAAAAGAGAAGATGGAAAAGGGCTTCGTCAAGATTTTCTCTCCTGAAAACAGTGGAAAGAGGCTCGTAAGTTTTTTTTTTTTTGAAATATTTTTCTACATGATGAAAAAAAAATTGATGTTATTCTACTTGTTTGTTATGTTTTTTCACAGAAAATTCCCACATCTTTTACATATTACAAGAATAGAAAATTACCAATGAAAATTAACCTTAGGGATCGATTTGGCAATATGTGGCCTGTAGGAGTGAACAAAATCGGAGGAAATTTGTATTTTCAATATGGATGGGAGAAATTTATTGAGGATAATAGTGTAGAGGTTGGAGATTTTCTTGTTTTTGACTATGATGGAAATAAAATGTTTGACTTTAAATTACTTGGAAGAACTAAATGTGAAAAGAACGGAGTTGGAGGTTTAAAAGCGGAAGAAATGATTGTTGAACATCAAAAGAGTAGAGAGTCAAAAGAGAAGAATTGGGCTAGTGATAGCTGTAATAGTTTTTCTTCCTACGATAACGATGTGGAGTACATGGGAGAACGAGATGAGGACGAGGATGAGGACGAGGATAAGGACGAGGAATATAAAGAGACTAAAAAGGTAGCATGTTACGTGGAAGATGAAGAAGAAGACGATGAAGATGAAGAAGAAGAAGATGAGGGAGAGAATCAAAGAACTAACACACATAAGAAAGAGGCGCTACGATCAAAAGGTAAACACCAATTAATATTTTTGTATCGTCTTTTTTCTTGTTAGTAAGTTTTTTTTTTTTTTAAAAAAAGAAAATCTTTGTATATTTGGAGATCATCTTCAAGTCATATAAAATGTTTAAGATAATAAGTTCGAAAGGCTAACGAAACAAGCCTAAGGGTGCTTTTTGTTTTAGTTTTTGGAATAAAGTTAAATTTCATTTTTTAATACTTTTGGTACATGTTAAAATTTTTCTTTCATTCTTAAATTCATGTTAGTAAAATTGTAAAATTACATGGGTAGATATTTGTGTTTCATGAGATTTTTGTTTATGAACCAAACCAACTAAATCTAGATGCAAAACAGCCTTTGCTTGCAAGGTGAGGAATCGTCACGACCATTTTGGTGTAGATATATTCAAAAGTGGACGTGCAACACAGCCGAAAAATCCTTATTTTGTAGCAAAAATAAGATCAAAGAGGAGAGATCAACTGGTAATTATAATCATTTTCACTATTTCGTGAATGATTTTGTAGTTCAATCGTTATATCATTTCTTACTTGACAAAGTCTTTGTTCCCAATTCAGTATGTTCCGGTTGATGTGGTAAAGGACTACAAACTTGAACTGCCTTCAAGTATGACCATTCGCGACTCTATTGGCAGAGAATTTGTGACGAAACTCAACAAGTGGAAGGACGGTAGAATATGGCTTGTAGGTGGATGGCGCAGTTTATGTAGATGGAACCTTGTGGAGAAAAATGACCATTGTATTTGTGAATTTGTAAGAGGAAAGCGCAACAAAGACCTTCACTTACGGGTTCAAGTTCTCCGTGAAGGAGAAAGTTCTGTTACATTATAGACTAGAGTTGTGTCACTCTTTCTTAAGCTACTTTGAATTGTGTACTTCTATCCTTCTTTTTCTTCAAATCCAAGATTGGAGTCTTCTGTTGCATCTTTCTACTGTTAATGAACTCCTACATATTGTCAAAAAAGCTTGATGTTCTCTCGTTGTGTAGATAAGTTCATTTGGCTTCATGATTGGCTGGTAAGAATTTGTGCAAAAAATTACTCTTGTTTCACTGAGACGAATTTATCAACTATAGACTCACAATGATAAATAATGACGTGAAATAATAGGGGTGAAGAATGACGAATGGAAACAATCATTGGTAAGATGTCAATTCGCGCCACGTATGCCAAAATTTTGGAATTGTACAGTTACTATGAAGTATTACATATAACCAAAACTGGTGTTGCTACAAGTTTTTCAACAACCCAAGAAAAATCTTGGTGAAAACAGTAAATTCCAGTAGTAAACAAAATTATAAATAACTTATGGTCTGATTAAACGCTAGGAAACAATGACAAATTGGTCACCCCAACATGCGAATTATGAATATTGTCATATACCTTTGCCCCTACCATTCACTGATTTAAAACAGGAAACATGCCCTTCAGTTGAGCTTCACAATCAGGTTCCAGAGCCTTAAGAAACAAGGCCCTCAGTTCAACATCTGTTAAGACCTGAATCACTTTTCCAAAAAACTTACGAACATCAGCTCGTCGTGATGCCTTATCCGGCATATTTTTCAACAACACATTAACAAGACACCCTGACTTGGCAAGATGGCTGCCTAACTCGGCAAAATGGCTGTTGTCATCAGGGTTTGAAGAAACAAACGATTTTAACATCTCGATGACCAGTTCAAGAGCTTCAATTTGACGAAACTGTAGCTTTGCACTAGCACATTTCTCCAAAAGGAACCCAAATAGAGGATATCCAATCCGTGGTCGCCTTTTAAAGACTTCTTTTAGAAACTCGCACTTCATTCGAGTACTTTTACTATCTAAGTAACCCTCCAGTTTTTCTCTGAATATACAAGAAACCTCCTCAAGTTCAGATTTTGGACGTTTTTTCGTATCAATAATCTTCAAAATCCAAAATATTGAACTCTGGGCAAGAGAATTGATCATTTTGAATCTATTCAAGGCAGCAGACAGCTTTTTCTTTGACAAACTAGAGGCAGATTTCTTTTTCTTGAAATGTTTTGCTGCCAGTACCAAGTTCCTTTCCAAGAGAGACTTAAGAACTGGGAATTCGATGACTTCACCTTTTGGATAGTCCTTTGCCTTGAAGATTTTCTTCTGTAAAATTCCCCAAATTCGCTGGCCAAGTTGTTCGTTACCTTCCGTAGTGTGAGGGTTTACAAATGCATGAGCTAGGCTTGAGAATATTTTCACTACTTTTGGCTTCTCTGCAAAGTGGAAAATTTAGATAACAATTAACACCTTAATGAATCAATAAGATCAAACAAATAGTGTATACAGCAGTGCTTAATACAAGAGGAACAAAAGCCTCAGATCATGATATTCAGCCACAAGATCAAAGTGTATACAGGAGAATCTTTTATTCATGGTATTTATAATAGGTAATATTTTTGAGGAGAATCGACAGATTAAAAGCCATACATGCAGAACTAAAATAGAAAGGCTGAAGCGAGGATTTGATAGGATCATAGGAATGACATGCCATATAAAGATGCCCAAAGTGATTGATACATAAGAATAGTGAGTCCAACAACATCTTTAGGAGACGTTAGGCATCTACAAGTCAACATGTATACAAGGCAAATAAGGTTGAAATACGGTTAATTAAATTGAACAGAACAAGGAATGATGACGCACAAGAGGAGCAATTAGTACATGTAAAATTAAATGAGAAAAGTTAGTCTAATTGACTTCGCCCCAAAATGCATCAATATGTAGGTTATGAAGGAATAAGTAATGTGGGGGTCAGATATGTAGAGCTTGGTTATGTAGGGATCACACAATGCATGAATTATTTCTTCACATATTTGTTTTTCCGGTTTTCCCCTCACTTGTGGGATTTTACAGTATATGTGGTTGTTAATATTTGTTTGTTGTATTAGAAATTAATATAAACTATATAACTCTTAAAATAAAAAACTTATTAACAATGCATGATAAAATGTTAAATCTTTGATGTGCGCAGAATAGCTTACAGAAGATCAAGATGGACTAGGACAGATGATATCTTTGATGTGCTAGTTATAGGTAGCAGTTTAGACTAAGACTAAAGTTACCAGTGTCAATAAAAAAATGTTAAATCTATAAAAATGATGCAAGGAACAGAACTGGGACATGAAAGTACCATAACCAAAGCCAAGAATCTAACTGTGGAGTAATAGAGGATAAATTTATCATTGTAGTACTTTAATCCATGTATTACCAATCCTTCTATTAATTATTCCATTTACTACTCCACATAAAATAATACATATTTTAACTCATAACTTAAACCTGTAATATATGTGGGATTGCAAAATAATGACCAACCACTGTACTGGGTTTGCTGAGTTCTAAACAAAGCAACTAAAGAAATATCAAAGATGATAAAAGTATGCTACTTTAAATACATGAATCATCCTCATCCTAGCCAGGAAACAGCAATCCTTTAGGGGTTGTTTGGTTGGGAACTACCTATCCCAAGATCAATTACTTCCCCACCATGTTTAGGGGATAACTTATCCAATCACTATGCTATAAATGGTGGGATAAGTTATTCCAAACATGCCAACCAAACAAGACATCAAAATTTTATAGAACAACTATTTATTCTTATCCCTCACACGAAACGACCCCTTAGTGAATGAAGAAAGACTTGCCTGGATTTTCGTGTAGGTAAATCTCCAGCAACGAGAGGACACGAAGTTTGAAGAGGGCAAGCTGTGAATGAGCAGTTTCACTACCAGCCTGGTTCTTCTTAGCGTTGTACATTTTAGCAAGATGTGTGTCCAGGCGGAACATTGCATCATCATCTAATCCCTCATCAGAATCATCATCAGAAGCTACAGGAAGTTCTGAGGTAACACCCTCAACACCAACTACTGTCTCTGAGTCATCCACATGTGCATGCCTCTCCGCAGTTTCATCCATCTCTGCTTCATCAGATTCCTCAGCCTCTTCAATGTCAAGAACGTCGTCATCATCGTCATCTTCATTCTCACTGTCAGTTTCTTGGTGTCTGGCTGGTTTGAGATCTTTCTTTATAACCCGCAACATTCGATGTAACCCATCATCCGTAACATCTTCACAAAAACATTTGAAAACCTATAAAGGAAAAAATGTTTTTAAGTAGCTGAAGAAGAGCCTGAGCAACAGCAGCTGTTGCAGAGTTCAAACAAACTCAAGTACTTCACAAAGAGAAACATAATTAAAAAGAACAGAAACAATCAATTTTCAAGTATTCATACATGCACAGAAAGGTATTGCCTAGTATTCAATGAGGTGGTTCGAGTCGTGAGGTCTCAATTTCAAATCCCAAGGGAGTAAAAACACTCCAATGATTTCTTTCCCTTTACCTAGGACTTAGTGGATGGATTACGCAGTACTTGTGAAGGTGGGAGGTGCAGTACCTATGGAGTTAATTAAAGGGCGCACAAACTAGCCCAGACTACAAGGTTATCCAAAAAGAATGCAAACATGAGCATTTTTGCAAAAAAAAAAGAAAAAAAAAAGCTCCCAACAATTACCATGTACTCGTACTATGCATCTACTACGTGCTTTTAATGTTGAGCATCAATGGACAAGGAAAGATAGTGTAGAGCTATCGACATTTTATCCTCTTTTACCACCGAAAGAACAAGAAAATATTATTTTTGCATGATAAGCAAACTCTGTAATGAAGAGATCAGCAAAAACATGTCCTAACGAATTCTTAAAATTGACCATGTCAAGTTAATTTGAAATATGATACCATTATTATAAGGTGTTTTTCCAAAGTGAAGATCATAAATTTTAACAATTTGAGAGAAGACTAAAAAATTCAATTTGTTTAAAACTAACCGAAGAGGAAACAAAGAAAAACAAGACGGAATACCATTGATATAAAAACCAAAACAGGTGTATCCCAATAAAGGAATTAAATGAAGCATTGCATTCACTATTTTCTCATCAAATAATTAACAGTAAATCCATGTGCAAAACCACAGAAAAAGGATAAACTGAGTCCTGTATTCAGAAAAAACTTGACCCGAAGGGTTTTGTCTAGGGGCAAGAGCAAAGGGCAGGATGTGCAAGTTAGGAGCACATCACAAGTGTGAATCTTGCCGTACGAAATAGCCTAATGTTTAAGCGCAAAAGGGTAGAAGGCCAAACCAATTATCCACCGAGTTTCAAACTTTGCGTCATTGGACATGAGAAATGTCCTGGTTATAAAAACCACATCTTCCTTTAGATAAGGCTTGCAGTGCTAAGAATATTGTGCTTAAAATTTGAATATTACCTTTCAACAATTAAAAAGAAAAAAGGAAAAAGAAAAGATATCTTCTATCAGATAACTAAATAGACCCAATCGTCCAGCATGAGTGACATATCATCATGAATTTTGTTTCCCAGGAGAACTATTGCATTACCTAGGGGTGTTAACAATTGGTGAAAAAACTTTAAAAACCGAAGAGCGAACTAAACAGATTACATAAATCATGGTCACTAATTAGAGAGGGGCCAAGGTACAATAAGGAAAAATCAAGATTGGTTATGTGAATCAGTTGTGATTAAATTATAGTCATCTTGGTATGCTTACTTTGAGTCCAATGTAGACTAGGAGTCCGCTAGTTTTTTCTCAAGATGCTTTTTTTTTGACAATTATTTCTCAAGAGGTTAGTTTGCCAGTAAAATATGTAGAGAACTTCTAGTGCTAAAAAAGATTGAGATGGGTCTAAATGGAGCAGCATGAACAGTGAAAATTCATATCGCCTACACCACCTAACAGCTTGAGATTGAGAACTCAGTCTTCTAAGACAAAACATCCGTATAAGTAAAAACTTCACCTCCTTTTAGGTTGCTTCTCTTATTAATTTGGTCAAAAAGATTCAGAATGAAGTTCACATCAAAATACAGTAGGTGCAATAATGCATTAGAAATAATGACTAGCATGTCACAAGGTCATGGTTTTGGGAAATATTAAATCACCATAAGAAC